ACTAAAAAGGAAAAAATATCATATAAAATGGAACAAGGTGAAAAACCCTTGAGCTATCATGAAGTTGTATCCACAAACAATTGCATCTACGTTCAGTTGTACAAAGTAGTTACAGTACAGAATTAAAATAGGATGGTTTACTCATTTATGCTAGATTATGCATCACCTCATTAAAGGAAATCCATTCTAATTTAAGAGTTGCCTTCGTGGGTTTTTTGGGAACAAAGTGGGGTAGTTGGGCAAAATAAATATAATCATTGGAGTGGACTGTCATTAATGCCACCATTCAGAAGTTCTTCAAAGGACATAGGCAATACAAACTTTAGTATGTGTTCTTAAATTGACTAAGAATAGAGCTCTCAAAGGCAAGTTATGTACAAGCCAAGAAAGTTAACTAACATCACAAGTACCAAAAACCATTAAAGTTAAACAACAATTACCAACACATAATATGGAAAATGAACATGAAGGACAGAAGAGTAGGTAGTAGAAACATTTCTTCCTTCTGAAATATAATCTGCTGGAATCACTTTGAGTAGTTTCTGTCATTACAAGCAACAGGGGCAGATCTATTAAGGCCTGTGGAGGTGCCACTTACAAAGCTATATTTATGTTTTCACAAAGGACAGTAGTGGAAAGTATAGTTTAAATTATGTCCTTGAATTATTTTTCTTAATAATTGTGCATTGCCTCACAAATCAGTTAATATGGAATAGAGGGAGTATTTCATAAGTGTGAAATCACATGAAATGTGAAGAAAATAAGAACTGCATGTCAGTTATAATGGAAAATTGAAGGTGGTCATTAAAATGATCATTACCGTAGAAGATGCTGCAAACATTCTTCCGAAGCATGTAATATAAACTTCGAAACGAATCCTGCCATGCTAGCTGCCTTTCACTTAAAAAGTCCAGTTGCCCTAGAATTAAAAGACAGATTATACGGTCGGGAGCGAAGACAGTAAACAAAGGTAGGACAACAGAAGAATCCAGCAATACCTCCCACTGAAGCAGACAAGGTTAAAGCTGATATAACTGAAGGCGGTAGAGGAGACTGAGGATACATCCAGGAATGCAATGACATTGGATTAATCGCTTGGGAAACAGAAGTCACTTCAGATAAACTGGTCATCTTTAGTTTCGTGAAACAATTAACTGAGGACCTCGCCACCACATTGTTAGCGCCACAATTGATCAACCTATGAAACCTAAAGGATCATAGAAGACTTAATTAACCTTTCCAAAACAACATCGAGGGACATAAGAGAAGAAAAGTACTGCATAACAATTAATAAGTATAGATAATACACAGAAGAAAAAATAAACACTACTCAGATGTTAGTCTTTAATTTACTGTTACATAAGAAACATACAAAAAAGTGTCAATGTGTTAATATTGCATGAGTCTAAAAAAAAAACACCTTGGACAAGGGCCCAAAACACGGTCAGCCACATTCAGAATTCTTTTCAGCATTTCTATAAATGGACACATTTTGACAAGCGACAACACTAACCTTTTTATTTTGGAGCACATTTCATGGCATGGCTGAAGCGATATGTACATCTCTCATTTCTTATTTGGTTATGCCAGACATGGTTTGGTTTAGCGACATGCCATCAAGTCTTACTAAAGTGTGTGATACGAGTCAACTACAAACTCTTGTGAAAGAAGTCGTATATATCAGACACTTCATTTTTTTTTGACAACAGTAACAGATATATCAGATACTTCATTATAAACTTAGACCAACATCATAAACAAGCTCTGTCACTCCAGGTCCAGATAGTGTGAGTATTTAAACTATCTTGTCTTATTTGGTGGTAAATAAACTTCCTGAGAAGCACAGTTTCTTTTAAAAGTTAACACAAACAAAAGCACACGGACAGTTTTTCCGACAATTAAATGAAGGCATGAATCGATATCAAAATGGCTCATTAAATAACAAATTCAATTAACTAATCACTCACCAATTAATGGAAGATGAGGATACAACTCGTATGTTAGTTTTCATCGTCAAATCCAATGGGGTCATCTTGCATGGGACATGGAATTCTGGGCAGAAATTTTTTGACCTAATACCACCATCAGTTTCAAAGGATTCAGCAATTTTAGCAGCAGCACCTAGATGCTCATGAGTAGCCAGTCCTCTTAAGGCTTTATCCTACCAATGCAAGATAAAAGGTTAATTCTTAGCTTATCAAAATTCAAAGTATACAGAAGGATTGAAGAGGATAAGTGCAGGCAATAGTAATTACCATATCAACAGTAGACAAGCCATGTACATCTACACTACCCAGTGACAGCTCAGTGACACTGCGGAAAGTATTCTCACTGCACCTTTCGCTTGTGCTACAAGTTTCAGTAGCATGATCTTTTCCAGTTACACTTGAAGCAAGAGAGAATTTTGGGCTTTTGATGACAGTATACAAAAAAATCATTAAATCAGCAGCAAGAAGAAAGAATAGCCATTACATTCTACAAACATTGAATACAATTCTGTGCCTTTACCATTTAGATCGCTGTTGATTCTCAGTAGGGAAAGCTGAAGGAATAGAACAATTTTTAGTGTTATCACTATTCTCTGCTTGAAAATTTTCCTGCCAGCAAGAAAAATACAAATATGTGAAACTTGTGTAGATATATAATGAGTTCTTAGTGGAGGAAACACACAAAAGAATTACTCCCTTTATTCAAGTTTATGTGACGCTTTTTCTTTATTAGTAAATTCTAAAAAAATGACATATTTCTATTTTGGATCAACTAACTTTGTACTTCCCATTTACTGTTAACGAGAAGCTTTTACAGTAATGCAAATGTATGTCATGTTTAAGATCATAAGTTTCAAAAGTTTTACCGCACAAATATTATGGCATGGTTAAGACCACCAATTTCAAAAGTCTTTATTTCCTTGAACTTTGTGCCAAAACAAACTATGTCATATAAATTGGAATGGAATGAGTATCAGCTAAAGCATTTGCTGAATTACATAGATTCCCTAAAAATATATACTTTGAGAAAAAGTAAAGTAAACCGACCTTGCCATTTTCTTTTATTGAAACCAATTTAAGCCTGATGCTACTTTTTCTGGCAGGAAATAGCTCGTCCACACGAGTATCAACATATCTAGGGTTCTTCGATACATCGCATCTCTTGGGCCCTGGGAAAAGACCACTGCTTTCAAACAAGTGGATGAACTTTATGAGTTGCACTCAAACAAATAATAATACATCTGGGAACAAAAATTACCTCATTGGGCCACCATTAGGGACTGTTGATTCATCCACAAGCTCCACAATATTCTTTTTCTTCAATTGTTCTCCCTATCAAATTCAGTGTTGTCAAAGACAGATGCTCATAGTGAGAGATTAGGTCTAATTAGAAATTCTGACAGTTATTTTTATTGTCAAATTTTATCTTGAAAATTAACAAACATTTAATTTATGTGTCTTATGGTCATTCTTTCAATTGCTTAAACAGATTTACCCCAGGGGATTCTACTCATACAAATAAACCACTAAAGCAAAATGTACACTCCTACTACTCATCCAGGAAACAGGTAAACAGCAACAACAACATTTAATACGACAAGGGCCCAATAGCTACACAAGCTAACTTCCTACAATCATCCATTCCATTCATTTCTAAGAATCCAAGTCAAGCCACTAAAACACTTCTCTTACCACATTATTATGTTAGCATGAACATATAACAAGGGAAGCATAAGAGCAACAATACAATTTTCTCCGTCTGACCTATATACATCACGGGTTCAAACTGTGGGGAAAACTTACTAATTCTTGCAGTAAGCTAGGTTATCTACGTCACACTCATTTGGCTGCAGACTTTCGACATACCCTGCGTTAACACATGTGATGCTTTGTGCACAAGGCTACCTTTTTATAGTTAAGTTATTATGCAAAAAGGGTGTAAAAACAGCCGGTTAATTCAAACAGAAAGGACCTGAATACAAATGCTCTCTCCACCCACAAAATAATGACAGTATACCTCAAATCCATACAAAAAGATCTACTTTCATATAAAAAACTGAAACTTTAGAGTTAAATCAGAGATAAAAAAATACTCACCCGCAACTCCGATGGAGTTTTTCGTTTCAATGTGGTAGTAGTGACCTTAGAACTACCACCACCAAAATTAAGTGCATCTGATTGATGTACCATACCCGCAGCAGCAACCTTCGCAGCCATCTTCTTCCACTTCAACTTTAGCAAATACAACCAAAACAAATTGTTCAAAAACCTAACAACCTAAATATTCGAATCATCTATTGCCCTCGATAGCATTAAGAGTGAATCGACGGCACCGGTAGAGGCTGAGACACGGCGGAGTGATACCTCCGGTAGGGGGGAAGAGGAATGGTGAAAGAGGGAAAATGAAATTGGAAATAAGGGATTTGGGGGATTTGAAGATTTTCAATTTCCCTCGCAACTGTTTCGGGTTAACGGGTACCGGGTCGGGTATGAGACACTAAATTCAAAATGTTTATATTTTTAATTGCCACGTCATCCAAATGAGTCGGAGACTCGTAGTACATCGATGAAATTATTTTATTCTTAATCAGAAGCTGTAGATACAATATTTGATTTGAGCATACCACCTATAGTTTGTACTTCAAGTGTAATCATACTGACGATGAAATTGCTACATCATTCAAATGGATCGTAGAGACATATACTCGTAGTGCATTGATGAAATTATTTCATTCTAAATAAGAAGTTTAGATTCGATAGTTGATCTTTTTTTAAAATAGTGACAATGAAATTGCCATGTCATCCAAACGTGTCGTAGACTCTAATAGTACAGTCATAAAAATCATTTTATTCTTAATAAAAAATCTTAGATTCAAAGTTGATTTGAACATACCATAAAATTTATATTTATGTGGGTCATTATTTTCATATTTTGCATTTCATTTTTTTTATTTTAGAGAAAAAAGTTTGAAATACCATCAAATTTTGATCAAATTTGCTATTAATTAGGATATCATATTTTACGAAGTATTAAATTTGATATCGTAATAGCAATTTCGATTAAAGTTCGAATTTCACGTATTATAAGTTTGAATTTATTTGTTTTGGCTACCATATAATATTATACCGGTCCGCTACTCTACTACTGTGAATTTACCGGCGCCGCTGCTGCTCCACCGGAACCGTTTTTCCGCCGCCGTCATCAAAGCTACCATTTTTTCCGGGGAAAACTATCGCTTTCTTTAATCAAGGTTGAAGAAGAAAAAATTTGAAGCACAGCTATGATCACAGTAATCATTTTATCAAACACATAGAATGCATTCGAGAGTAGGGTTTCTCTTAGCATGCACAAAAAGGAGGTCTTCTTCGTCTACGTTTCTTCTATCTACTGTGTTCTCTTCTCATCAAAATCGGAAGATATTTGTTGCTTGTCACCGTCGGATTTTGATTGGTAGTGATATAAGTAAGATTTATTTCTTCGAAGAATCGAATTTTCGTGGATTGGGACAGCTGCGTGGGTTTTGCAGATACCCTGGTATAGCAGCTTTAGAGCAATTCTCCGATGATGAGTATGAATGCGACTACGAAAATCATCCGGTAAGGTTACAGCTAGCTTTAAACATATAAAGTTGTTTTCTTTCATGCTTCAAAATTGTGGTGATTTACTTATGCTATGTGGTTTCTGCTGTGGTGGTTGTAACTTGTAGTGTGTTGCTTTGCTTTCTACCCTATCTGTTTTTATGATGAAGATTATTGCATTATTTTGTTGTTACTGTTTTCCGTAGTAGTTGCTATATTTTGTCCTCTGTCGTTTTCGCTTTTTGTATTTGCTCTGATTGCTCTACTCGAGTCTAGGCTCTTTTGGAAACAGCCTCTCAACTGCGTACATACACTCTATGCTTGGTTATGTTTATTTGAATTTCATATTGACTTTAACTTTGGAAATTAACACACATTGATTAAGATGTTTAATGTTTTAAAATGCTTTTTGTAATTCGGAAATTCAAAAGGGGAAGTAACATTGTTTTAATACTGTTTCTTCAAAAGAAGTCTTTTTTTTCAACATTGGGCTGAAGCAGCTTAGGGGTGGGTAGTATACGGCCACGGGAAAAGTGATTAGAAAAATTAGTTTTAGCTTCATTTCTTACTTAAAGCTAGCAACTTTGAGCAATTCTCCATTTTGAAACCTTTAGTTAGTCTGGAAGGAAGGGATGAGTTTAATGGTCACATCACCTTTAGCGGAGGACCAAAGGAGTATTAGTTTTTGGAATCACAAATTGTGTGGGGAGAATTCGTTGAGGATGTCTTTCCCAAACATTTACGTACACCTTTTCAAACCAAAGGGGGTCAACAGTCCACCAGACTAGGAGATGGAAGAGTGCCAAAGGGTATTGGATAGTTAAATAATGGAACTCATAAAAAATGATAATTTAGTTGTGTTTTCCACCATTAACTCAAAAATCTGATCTTTTAAATGCTATTTGTAATTTGGATAATTGAAATAGGAATCAACATAGTTTTAATACTATTTCTTCCCTTTTTCTCCGGGTCGGGCCGAAGCAGCTTAGGAGTACTGGAAAGAAGATTAGAGAAATAGTTTTAGCTTCAGTTCTTACTCAAAGCTAGCAGCTTTGAGTTATTTTCAGCTTTGAATCATTTAGTTATTGTGGATGAAACATTTACAGTGTAGTTGTCTTGAAAATTCTGAATTTTCATTTTCTGTTCGCGATGTGATTGGGGAGGAGTAAGGGTAGTGTCAATGGTTACAAGAGATTACATTGTGGGTACATAACATCCCTCTCTTTTTATGTTGTCCTTTACTATAGAGAAGCCACTTGAACTGGTCAGCATGTACAAGGATCGTTTCAGTTGGAATTTTCTTACCTCTTAAAATAATGTTAGGCAGTTTTTTTGGTTTTTGTTAGCTCTCTGTTCTTAGCAGACACTCTTGTACTCAAGCTAACCTTTTTAACCTCTCCTTTGATAAGCCAAATAGATTGGTAGTGGTCTTAATTTCTTTCAACAAATACTTACAATTTTCAATTATAGTCCTATGAGAGTGATACCGCATGTCTTCATAGATAAGCTCCACTTTTGTTGATCATATGGTGAGAGGAATGAAAGAGCTCTTGAGGGAGTACAGAAAGACTTTGTATACTTGAGGAATAACCTATTTTCCCTTTTTTCTTTTTGGTGCACCCTTATGATTTTTACATGTATGATGAGTGGGTGTTATTTGTAGAAAACCATGTCCTCTTGTAAGGTTTTCTACCTTTGGTGTACTTCTTGTATACGGGCAAGTTTTTGCCCTTAATGAAATTTATTACTTTATTGAAAAAAAAAGAAGGTTGACAACAACTAGGCAATCTGTTTCTATGTCCAATTCTTTATAGCCTAGTTCTTCTGCTAATTTTAGTCCTTGTTTGATGCTCCATGCTTTTAAGTTAGGCTTGTGGTAGGCTTTATCTTACCTGAGTGCCTGCAATTACTTCCATTGATCATGTCTAAAAATTCCTCCAAAAGCAGCTTCTCCAACTTGAGTCTTGACACTGCCATCAATATTCAATTTGATCATGTGTTATTTAATACCACCAACCAAAATCTGCTTTGCTTATAAGATATTGTTTCTTTTGCAGCCAATGAAACATTGTATTGTTTTACTTTTGAAGTTTATTCTCTGGGTGTTTCTGTTACTTGCATGGAGATAGTATACTATATCCTTTTATTTTATGTTCTTCTAAAAACAATATGCACGACAGTTGCAGTTGGTATGCATATTTGCCCATTTAATGCTACAAAAGATCATGGAAAAGAGTAGGGTGAGTTGACTTGAAATGCGTACATGGACTTCTATTTTAAGAGATTCTGTGGCTTTTGAAGGGCTTGACGGTGGATTTTGTTGTCAGTGGTCAACTGCCATTGGTTTTGTTTGTTGTAACTTAATTGAAAAGCCAAGAAAATGTAAGGAAAGAAGAATGTTGATCTATTTGTCTTTATTGTGTGTGCGTTTTGTTTCTTCTTCTTTAATAAATTCATATGTATAATTCAATCATAAAAAATAAATAAAATTTCTGTGCAAATTATTTCTTGTATGAAAGATTTATCAGTTAGAGCTTACTTGGGGACTTTGAGAGTTCAATGACAGGCTTCGTCATCAGTGGCCAATGTAGATGAGTGGAAATGGAAACTTAGCCTGCTGTTGCGCAATGAGAAGGATCATGAAATTGTATCCAGAGATAAACGGGATAGAAGAGACTATGAACAGATATCCAACCTTGCTAAAAGGATGGGTCTCTATAGGTATGGAAGAATGTTGTTGATGATTTCTCGACACGCTTTTTGTTATCTTGTTTCGTGCTTTATTTACTCTCTTCTTTTTGCATCTTGCAGTGAAATTTATGGGAAAGTTGTAGTGGTGAGCAAGGTTCCTCTTCCAAATTACAGACCTGATCTTGATGATAAGCGGCCTCAAAGAGAGGTAAGAGTTATCTCCTTAATCGTACAATTATTTCCTTCTATTGTTACATGTTGATGAGGACTTAATATCTATATGTAGAGTAACAATTGGAGAAACAAACTTCTAAGTTGGCACTTGGATTTGGTTTTAAATTTGTGTTAAATCAAAAGAGTAAATTGAGATGTAGTTATCTGAGATATGTCCTTGCAGAATTTCGTGCTGTTGAACATTCTTGATTTGCTCTCAAGTTTAGTAAGCAGAAGCTGAATTTTTGATTGCATTGATGCAGGTAGTAATCCCACTAAGTCTGCAAAGGAGAGTAGAAGGCTTGCTTCAAGAACATATTGATAGAACACAACTCAGCAGTGGAAAAGATGACAACATTTTAGATGGTACTAAGTCCTCTGATATAGTCACAGATGCTAATATGGATGAAAATCCAGATTCATTCTTAGATGGCTCTGTCATGGAGAAGGTTCTTCAGAGGCGGAGCTTACGCATGCGTAATATGCAGAGGGGTTGGCAGGTCTCTTTCTGTGTTTCTATTTTTATTGTGTTTTTCTTATATTCTGTGGAAAACATTGCTCGTTTCAAATGCATTTCGCATTCTATGTTCCAACCTTAAATTTAAAGATAAAGGATGTTGGCTCACACTAGCAGCCTCTTGGAAACATCTTCAGGAGTTAGAAGTAATCTTAACATTGAGAAGTCTTATGATCATGTTAATTGGAAGTTCTCAATCAACTTGCTCAAGAGGGATTTGGTTAGGAAATGTCAGAAGCACTGTTAAAATTCTGCCCTAGTTAATGGGCCACCAGTGGGCTTCTTTGCTGCTCAAAGGGGTCTATGATAACAAGACCCTATTTCTCCTTTCCCATTTTTATTGGTGATGGAGTGCTCCAGTCTTATGTTGTCTGTATCATAGAGGAATGGCTGGATAAATGGTTTCAGTGTTCATAACATCACCCACAACATTCTATAGATCTTTCACCTGTTGTAAGAAAATGCTACTTTGGTGATGTGTGATGCCGAGGTTGATCAACTAAAACATGTGAGGGTGTTTCTAGTAGTTTCTGAAGCTTCCTCTTGGCTTGAAAAAGTTGCTTATATTCAGTTAATAAAGTTCCTAATTGCTGCTTTCTGTCTCCACCTAGGCTGTCAAGTTGTTTTACCAACTAATTATCTTGAATTGTCATTGAGACCCAAGCATAAAGCTCTATAACATGTGGGAAGTAGTGTTGGAGAAATATGAAAAAGTTTAGCCGGGTGAAAGAAACAATATCTACCAATATTTTCTCGGGAAGGAAGATCGGTTCTAATTATTAGTGTGTTGGATTCATTTTCTACGGATGTAATATCTCTGTTAAGAACTCTCCTGTTCAGAAGATGAGAATTGCATGAAAGTTCTGGAAACGAGTATGTGGTTGTGGATGTGTAGGTATACTAGGAGAGATAAGATTAGGAATGAAGATATTCGGGACATGTAGGAGGGACTTTGTATTTGACAAGATGTGGAAGGTGCGATGGTTTGGGCATGTGAAGGGGAGATGCGCAGATGCCCGGGATTGGTACAGACCACTCTACAGTGAGTTACTGTGGTGGAATACTATATGTCCATACCTGTATGCATTTGGTGGATTGCCTGGACGTAGAAATGGGTGATGCTTTGGAAATTCTGCGAGCTCCAACAAGATAAGTGTCTAATTGTATGTTTTTGTTTTGCTTATGATGTAGGATGGAACATGTAAATGAAGCTAAAATGGTTCTACAAACATTACAATCCCTACAAGATTAGACGGGGCAGTACTGGTTTTAGTCAATACAAACGAATTTTACCTTTCTCAAAAAGAAACAAGATTAGACGGGGCACACTTGTTGTTTTTTCTTTTACTACATTGTACAAATATGTTCTGTTCTAATTTATAAAGTTACTTTGCCTTCCACAAAATATTCATGCTCATCATAGTTTTAACAGATCCCTATATGGCCTGCAATAGTTAGCATTCTATTGTCCTGAGGTGAACTCTTTTTGTCCTTCAATATCAGTATCAACAAACTTTTGTTGGATACATATTCAATGTATTAATGCTTGTTGGATTTATTTCTCGCAGGAATCTCCTGATGGCAACAAAATGCTAGAATTCCGGAAATCTCTTCCTGCATTTAAGGAAAAAGAAAGGCTGCTCCAAGCAATTGCACGTAATCAGGTCTTACTTTGATAAACTTATTATTCTTTCTCTGTTCAATCAAAGCATGTATGGTGATTGCATATGACTGACATGTAGCCCAAGTCAATGCCCTTTATTTATTATGAAAGATGTGGTTGTGCTGGAAGGTTCTCTTGCAAATTGCTAGTCATTTTTGGTATTCTTGAACTGCTGATCTTTTAAAATGCATCTAAGTTTTTGCTCTCCTATTTGCACTAGCAAGAAACTCAAGCCCCTTAATAATTTAGTGATTGTGCTTATAGACTAGTAACGTTTAACTGATCACATTAACTGGTTTGATTTATCTTATATTTGGAGGATGTCCAGGGAACAGACTAGGACATATTCGTAGTGCATAAACCTCTTTTAGCATTGGGATAAACAGAGAAAAAGACACAGTTTTATAATTATTGGACGTGATGATTCTTGATGTTCGTGAATTGCAGGGTAGGAATGCAAGGAACTTAGAATTGTCTGTGATGTGTTAAATTTGTTTTATGTCTACTTAGTCCCGTTTTGATTATTACAACAGGTGGTAGTAATTTCTGGCGAGACAGGATGTGGTAAGACCACTCAACTGCCACAGTACATTCTAGAGTCAGAGATAGAATCTGGCCGTGGAGCATTTTGTAGCATAATTTGTACGCAACCTCGAAGAATATCTGCTTTGGCTGTTGCAGAAAGAGTGGCTACAGAAAGGGGAGAACCTCTTGGTGACTCAGTATGCTACTATTCTTCTCTGCTCTGAATCTTTTTTTTTACAGGCTTTTGGTTAAGCTTTCACTGGATGAGACAGTCATAAAAGTTGAAATTTTATTTGTTACAATTAAATTTGGAAGCTTCTTTATGTTAGTTGCTGTTCTTCACAGAATATTTTTGGTAGGTTGGTTATAAAGTGCGATTAGAAGGGGTGAAAGGAAAAAATACACATTTGCTATTTTGTACGAGTGGTATTTTGCTTCGTCGTCTTCTCAGTGACCGCAATCTTGACGGTATAACCCATGTTTTTGTTGATGAAATTCATGAGCGAGGCATGAACGAAGGTAGCTGAATTGGCAACTTAGGTCTCTGGTTTGGTTTTCTTCTGAAAGCTGCATTGATAATTTGCTTCATATTCTTTGTCAGATTTCCTGTTGATTGTGTTGAAGGATCTTCTTCCACGACGCCCAGATTTGAGATTGATTTTGATGAGTGCTACTCTTAATGCTGAATTATTTTCCAGTTACTTTGGAGGAGCGCCTATGATTCACATCCCAGTAAGCTGCAACTTGGATCACCAGTCTGTTAGAGTTTATACATGTTATTGGTGTTTGTGTACTAGTTTCAATGATAGTAGTCGTTTTTACTCTGCCCAGGACTCTTTGATTCCCCTATATGTTTAATTTTTGGAATTTCTTGATGTAGATTAAAAAGAACGAGCTTTCCAGTTTTCTACCTTTAGATAGGCGCATATATGCAAAGTGTTCATCTTTTTGTATAATTCTCACTTCACTTGAGATTTCTTATTCATTTTTGTTTTGTTATGTAAAATTTACCATCAATTAAGGTCATAGCATGTTGACTTTTCATTCCAGAATAACTTTTATCTTTCTATATTGTTTTTGTTAAACCGGGTTTTAGGCTGCTGAGCTTTGCTGGCTTATTTGACATATTATGTTAACTTTTGGCGTTTTGTATGATGTAGGGCTTCACATATCCTGTAAGAGCAAACTTTCTGGAAGATGTGCTGGAAATTACGGGATATAAGTTGACTTCATTCAACCAAATTGATGATTATGGCCAGGAGAAGATGTGGAAAACACAAAAACAGTTAGCACCCCGCAAAAAAAAAAATCAGATAACTGCTCTTGTTGAGGTTGTTATTCTGTCTGCTTTGTGTACATGAGATGATGAACTTCCGTATTTGCTAGTTATGTATTGTCTTCTTTAGTCCATTTCTGTTAGATTTTCAGCTTCCTTTATAATCTTTTTACAACTTTGCTCTACGTTTTTTTTCCGGTGCTTGTTTTCTGATTGCCGTTTCATTTTCTTTGATGTCCCTCTCAAGCTATGAACATCTAATAGGGAGAAAAAATCATAGTCTTTTCTTATTTTCAAAATTTGGAAATGAAGACAGTGAGTGATTCAACTGAAGTTTGAGCTTGTTTATTGTATTGAATAAGGTGTTCCTCATAGATCAACAAACCATATGATAAAAATAAGAGATGGAAGTTACATTTCTTCATATGCTAACATGTTAAGGCCATGAGGGAAGCTAAAACCCCTTTCTTTGACCGTTAAAAGGTGCGTGTCATTTCCTTCAAAAGTAGTATAGTTTTGGAGGATTTGACATGGGTGCGGCAACAAGTTTGGAGAGTCCGAGCGACTTAGCTCCTTTTTGTGTAATTATGTGCCACTTTAACATACTTTTCTCTTATGTCGCCTTTCAACAAAAAAGACTTGCCATTCCATCTGCATGAACCATTTGGTATTGTTCTCACAGATATTTACTATCTCAAAAGATTTATCCCCGAAACAAAGATTTTCTGTTTGTTTAAATTTTTCTATTTTTTAGGTGTACTTCTTCTATACAGGCGAATACTTTGTCTGGTTAATGTAATTTGTTACTTTATATATAAAAGAAGGAAGTAAAGGTTTCCTCTCCACAAATCATCGAGAAATGCTTAAACTTTCACTGGAAAAAGGGGTTGTCGGAGTTAGTTCCGGTGAGAGATCAAATTACTGAGTGTTAGGCACATTTCCGAAGAGACCCATTGTTGGTATATCTCAAATTTTTCTCCCATCATGTTCTTTCTTTCTTAAGTAGTTTTATCTTGTTGGTTAGATGCTATAGAAAGAAATTGTCAGATTGCTGGTACTGTTAGAGATGATACAGTACTAATCTTGTATGAATGATGTACTTCTATGTGGCAGGATGCTGTAGAAAAATCAAACTTCGAGAATTATAGTCCAAGGGCACGTGATTCACTAGCATGCTGGGCTCCTGATTGTATTGGATTCAATCTTATTGAGGCAGTTTTGTGCCATATATGTCGGAAAGAACGTCCAGGCGCTGTACTAGTATTTATGACTGGTTGGGAAGATATTAGTTGTTTAAGAGATCAACTTAAAGCACATCCTCTCTTGGGTGACCCAAATAGAGTGTTGGTGCTCACTTGTCATGGTTCTATGGCTACCTCTGAGCAGGTAATAATGCTCTCTCCTTATTTTAATGCCTCTTTGGGTTTAGCAGTTTTCGCTTTTCTTTGAATGCTATGTTGCTCAGACTCTTCAAAAATGTCACGGGGTGCATGTCGGATCCTCAACAAGTAGTGCATTTTTTAGGATCTGGCACAGTTGAGACAACGTTTTTTCAGAGTCCGAGTAAAATATTTGTACTGTCAGTTCAGATGTATTATTACTAGAAGTGTACTTCTCTTTCCTTGTCAGTTTAATGTTTTGTCAAACTTAAATTGTAATCTGCAGAAACTCATATTTGAAAAGCCACCTCAGAATGTACGTAAAATAGTACTTGCAACAAATATGGCCGAGGCAAGTATTACTATAAATGATGTGGTCTTTGTGGTGGACTGTGGAAAAGCGAAGGAAACGACTTATGATGCTCTAAATAATACTCCGTGCTTATTACCTTCATGGATTTCACAAGCCTCTGCACGACAAGTGAGTTCCTTTAATAAACAGCACCTTTTTTATTAAGCCTAAACTTTCCGTATGTAATTCAATTTTCCTTTCCCGTCTTTTTGCACAAAATTCTAGAGAGAATGAACAATTTCTCCCCTCATAAGTAATATGAAGAAGTTCTGTGCTTAGATGTTACTTAAAAAACATGATAACATTACCCGGGAAAAAAATAATAACGTTTAGTTTTTGGATAGTATTGGATGATTGTAGCTGATAAGGCATGTGAAACGCGAATCTGTTCAAACGACTAGGTTGTGCATTGTCTTGCAGTAACATCTGTTCGATACTTCAATTTATTTTGAACTTGAATTCTGATGATAAAAATGTGAATTCTTCTCACTGTTATCTTTGAGTCAGATTTTGATGTTATGGTGGGTGTTATTGTCGTTTTTTTATGAGCTGTCATATCTCTCATGTTGCAGAGAAGGGGTAGGGCTGGCCGTGTCCAACCAGGCGAGTGCTACCACTTGTATCCACGATGTGTGTATGAAGCTTTTGCTGAATACCAACTACCTGAACTCCTGAGAACTCCTTTAAATTCTCTTTGCTTGCAAATAAAGAGTTTGCAGGTTGGAAGTATTGCTGGATTCCTTTCGTCTGCGCTTCAGCCTCCAGAATCATTGGCTGTAAGTGCTTCCTCTCTTGATGCTTATTCTATTTTTCTTATGCTCTTTTATAGATCAAGTTCTTATGATGCTTTACACATGCCATTTAGATTAGAGGGTTGCTTCTTACTTTCCAAGTATGATTGAAATGTAATGTCCATATACTGCAGGTGCAAAATGCTATTCAGTTTTTGAAGATGATTGGTGCATTAGATGAAAATGAGAATCTTACACATCTAGGTATGTATTCTTTTGAGGAGAAAAATAATCTGTTTCATGAAAAATTGTATTGCTTCTATGATGTTCTTTTTACTAGTTATATTTATGACCTTTATTCTGATTTTTATAAGTTATATCTTCGTCATTTCTTACAACCAGGCAAATTTTTAGCAATCCTCCCTGTGGATCCCAAGCTTGGGAAAATGCTCATTATGGGTACTATTTTCCGTTGCTTTGATCCTGTTTTGACTATTGTGGCTGGTCTTAGTGTACGGGATCCATTTCTGTTGCCTCAAGATAAAAAAGATGTAAGTAGAAAGCAATTTGCGCCACTAGCCTTGCCTCCTTTTAATTTCATTTACTACTAGTTGGTATTGTATCTACTTTCGCTTTGTTATACATTCTTTTTTTTTAGTTTCATGTCCTTGATGTTCCATCACTTCAAGATTGTGCATCCCTGCTTCTTTCCATGTTTGCTCAATGGATAGTTTACCAATTTGCCAATAATTTAACTTTTGCCATTTGAAGTGCATTTTTTGAGAAGTTGAAAGTGTTTTAGGTTGAAGGAGTTCTATATGATATTTTCCGGGGTGTATTTCTTATTTAGCAGTTAGACATTGATGTGGCTTTTCCCAGATCAACACAAAATATTTAAAGGAAGAAGGAACAAGAAGACAGATAGAAAATGCATGTATTTATGCCTGATCAAGATGGTAACTTTTTAGAATAAAAGGTTACTCTCCCCTATTCATAGAGGATAACAAAGGAAACTAGGGTCGATCAAAAAACTTTTTGGTTCTGTTCTTTTGCTAAATATGTAAAAAGTTTATTAATGTCCAAATCTCACATAAATATAACACTGGGTTATGGATAAAAAAGGTTTTGTAGAAAGAAATTTGATATCTTCTCTTTTCTTTACTGAATAGAGAAAATTTTGCAGTGCATGTATCTCTTGAACACCTTCCATATAACTAATTTGGTAGACCAGTCAACCTCATTTTCCCCTGTGATGGATGGCCTTATGCAGGGTTCAGGACATTTTTAAGATCATACTAACTTGGCATCTTCCCATCTGATTCATCCTCTCATTTTTAAGTCTAGATAGCATCGAGCAGCCAGCAAAATGTACACTGCACTTGATAATATTGTTTTGGTTCTACTAAATCTTAATTCACCAATATTGATCAACTCCCATTTTGTAGTTAGCGGGAACAGCAAAGTCCAGATTCTCAGCCAAGGACTATAGTGACCATATGGCGCTTGTCCGTGCATATGAAGGATGGAAAGATGCTGAAAGGGAAGGTTCTGCCTATGAATATTGCTGGAGGAATTTCCTCTCTGCCCAGACTCTTCAAGCTATCCATTCTCTTAGAAAGCAATTTATCTTCATCTTGAAAGATGCTGGATTGCTTGATGCTGATACTGCAACTAACAATAAGCTAAGTTACAATCAGTCTTTGGTTCGTGCTGTCATATGTTCTGGATTGTATCCTGGAATTTCTTCAGTGGTGGTATGCAATGGTTCTACAGTTCTGATCTAGTTTCATGAATTTATGTCAGTCCAACTGAATACCTATTCATATAAGTTATCATGTACATGTGCAGAATAGAGAGACATCAATGTCCTTCAAGACTATGGATGATGGACAAGTCTTTCTATATACAGTAAGTTCAATGAACAGTTCTTTGGAAGTTATTAGATTATGAAGTTGGTGACAGTTTTTGTTTCTGCTCTTCTCCTTTTTGCTGAGCCATTTAATCTATGTGGGGTTGAGGTTCCTTGCACAAATAAAAAAAATTCCAAATTTTATTTAATTGGACATCAATCCAACAAATTTTCTCTCATCTTGGTGTCACCTTCAATACAAGATAATCCCATAAAATGGAGAAAGAAAATAAAACGACGGAAAATTATAATCTGGGATAATGTTTTGAATTCTGAAGATGAAAGCATTTATCCCTTGAATTGATGCATCTGGACCTGTTAGGAATTTCAAAGTTTTGGTTTTCACTCTTCTTTTTTAGGTTCCCGTATTTGTTTTCATATCTGCTGTCTCATTTCATGAATTCTCCCCAAATAAAAATAAATCTGCATATCCTCAATTCTCGACTCTCACAAAAGCTCTTATTCTCCCATTTTCCCTTGCCCAAGCATTTGATCTATTGCTGTTGGTAGCCATGGTTGCTGTCTAGTGTCTATGTTGCCGGGCTGTGTTGCTTTGACTCTCTAAGATGTGGTGTACCCGTGTCGGATCATAAAATACAGACTACTTTTGGAGGATTGGACAAGCATCCATCAGCATTTTTAAAGAGTCCGAGCAACATAGTTGAACGGGATCTGCTCTATAGGCTCGTACCAATGTATTCTTGAGTTCTAAAAGGAGACAGGAAATCTAATCTGGTGGATGAACCGTGGCCATGAGACCAGGGTATGATGAATAGCCTCCATGCCCTTCCGGGTCATGGTGCCATAGATGATCGTTTTCAGCCTGGTTGTCATTTAAAAAAAAAAACTACTCAAGTTCATTGTCGTAACATGATATTTACACAAAAATTTCTTTGGACAATCTCTTTCCAGTAGGAGGGTGGACTTGCACTTCAGCAGTTGAATTGTTGTGTTACTTGCACATGTGTATTTCAGTTGTTATGGTTTTCATATTGATGAAGATGTGTAACATCTCAATTTTGTCTTCAGAATTCGGTCAATGCTCGCTATCAAACGATTCCATACCCTTGGCTGGTGTTCAGTGAAAAAGTTAAGGTCAATACAGTCTTCATACGGGATTCTACTGGAGTATCTGATTCGATTGTGATCCTATTTGGTAGTACTCTAGACTGTGGAGATGTGGTAACTTTTCTCTGCCTAGATGCTTATCGATTCACATTCTTGATGCTGTTAACAGCTGTGGGTTCCTAAATCTTGTGATTATATTTTCTTTAGGCTGGGCATTTAAAGATGTTAGGTGGATACATAGAGTTCTTCATGGATCCTTCTCTGGCGGATTGCTACATAAAGCTCAAAGAGGAGCTCGATATACTTTTGCAAAAGAAGGTGAATTTTCCAGGATCTTGTTTCCTTCTCAACGCATACTACTCCTAGTTATGAACCATATTATTTCTGCTAACTAAACAGCAAACAGACAGGTGCACTAAACTACTTTAAGCATGGTATTTCGGTGAACTCACTTCTTTACCTTTAAGATAGTGGAACTCTAATGAGCAAAAAGATAAGAAACCAAGTTGATACATTAAGTTTCATCTTCAAATAACTGTAATGTTTCAGAGAAGCTAACGCGATCTTAATCAAAATAAACTAGCTGTACATAACCACAAGGGAAGTTTATTTCTAACTAATTAAGAGTACATCTTTGCATACTACAAACAAATGCCGGAAGTACTCTCAATTCGAGGTCTTACTGTAACCACTGCTTTCTGGAGATTGGCCCAATAATTTGTTTGATATTTTAGACTGATTTGTGTAAAGGAATTTTAAGTTTTAGGTTTTGTTATTAGTTAGTTATCTGTTTATTCATTTTGAAGGTTATCTTAGTTTTTTTTTTGTTTCTTTTGTTTTGTGGTTGGGTGGGGGGAGTTGGATAGCATGAAAGAAAGAGGTCAACCCAGATAATTTGTAAAGGAAGTGAACAGAACTGATGTAAGAATGAGAAAAAGTGCAGGTGCTTATTATTCATTTGAATTATTGGGCCGATCTCCAGAAAATTGGCCCTTGACTAATCAATACCATGACTAAACATGTATTATTTTCTCTAAGATATCCTACCAAACAACCACATAAGGTTCGGTATGTGATAATCCCATGTTTTTCTTTAAATAACAGTCCTGGAGTTTTGAATTTTTGCCTTGAAGACAGAACATCTTAGCATATTAAGTTACGTTTTGTCCTTCTTTGGTTGTAAATTTACTGGTTTTGGGATGATTTGTCAAAACATAAGAAGAGTTGCACTGATTTTGGATGATGCAGCTTCAAGATCCTGAGGTAGACATCCACAAGGAAGGCAAATACCTTATGCTTGCTGTTCAGGAACTGGTTTCAGGAGATCAGTCTGAGGGCAGGTTTGTGTTTGGTCGTGAAAACAAGAAGCCTAAAGATTCTGACGCTGATAGATTTACAAGGGACGGGACAAACCCAAAGAGTTTGTTGCAGACGCTACTTATGAGGGCGGGTCACTCCCCTCCCAAGTACAAAACAAAGCATCTAAAAACAAATGAATTTAGGGCACTTGCAGAGTTCAAGGGAATGCAATTTGTAGGTAAACCAAAGAGAAACAAAGCCCTTGCAGAAAAGGATGCTGCAATAGAAGCACTAGCATGGTTAACTCAAACATCTGACAAGAATCATGGTGAAGATGATAAATCTCCTCCTGATGTCACCGATAACATGCTGAAGCTTCTTGGTAAACGCAGGAGATCAAAGCGTCGCTGAGGTGATAAGACTAATTGATTGTAGGCATAATACATAAATATGCCCTTTAACTTGGCTTCGAATTACATTTATGACCTTCAACTTTGGATTTGCACAAGTAGACACTTAAATTTGTATAAAGTTGAACAAATAGACACACATGTCCTATATGTCATTTTTTTTATCCTATCTGGTGTTCTACGTGTATTGTGCCATGTAGGACTCGTGTGTTTGTTTATTTAAAAGTTGGATAGTTAAAGTGCATGTTTGTGCATTACGAAAGTTGAAGGTCAAAGTTAAAATTTGAAGTCAAGTATAATGTCTTGATTGTAATTTGAGAACGAATAGTCATGGGTGTAGGGCCTTTCAAAATGAACAATGCAAGTGGACAAGGAAGCATTTACATGTAACTTATTATTCTCAAATCTACTATAGAAAAAAATACTTTAAAAATTGTATTCTTTTACATCATAGATTAACATGTATACATATTTAATATAAAATAACTATTATAAATAGTATCAATCTATATCTCAACTATATAAATATTAGTATATTAAAATATAAGATGTATTATCTTTAGAAACTTGCATTAAAATGTAATTAATAGGAATATACGTAACCAAGACTATTAAAAGAAGTGTACATAAGAGCAGGGGCGGACTCATATGGCTTGGTAAGGGTGCACGTGCACCCGCTAACTTCAAAAAAATGATGTATATATATGTATATCTATCTTAAGAAACTAGCAAAAAAAAGATATAATTAACAGTGCAAAACATAAATGTGCTTTTGTGCAGTTGGTATAAGCTAGTGATGTCACTTACAAGACTCGGGTTTAAACCCTACTTAGATGTTATGGAGCTACTCATACTTTGGTCTAACTCAGTCTCCGGGAGGATTTCTCGAGTTCATATAAACAAATTACCACTCTATTCCTCAATCGATGTGAGACTCTATTCCACTCTAATATTGACTATAAATTCTAGTATCCATAAAAATATGGCACTCGGCTCTGCTTTAACTGCAATTGATTCATGTCCGTAACTTGGATCTAACTCAGTCTCAGAAACTAGCTTGTGACGGGTGGATTTCTCGAGTCCATATAAACAAAGGGCTTCACCAGTTTATTCTTCAACTAATTCACCGTACAGTAACCACTCGGAACTCAGATTTACTTGAGAAACTTGTTACAAACATGAAAAGCTACAATTGAAACCAAAAATTCTGAAGGAGTAAATCATGTTGAACATTTTACATACACTTCATTCCTACTTCTAAGTTTGTAATTCATTAAATACAATCAACTCTTCTTTCCTTCTGCTAGCTGCAACTTATATCAGCTGATGAATCAGAGTCTCTTATCTTTATAACAACAATCAGTAGTGGTGTAAGCTGCAAAATAGTACTAGTCCTTTATTCTTTTTGAAATTGAACCATCGTTTTCATCATCGATCATCTAAGCCCCTGAGTGAAGCTTCATTCTCCGTAAAGATATGTATGCTAGAAGCCGATAGCCAAACACCATAGCTAGTAATGTACTTACTTCCTTTACACCATTGCCTACTTTGATCCCATCCACCCAATCATTTTTCTCCTTGTATTGAACTTTTAGTAGGAGTTTGTACGTTTGATAGTTATATGATAAGTATCTTAGCCATGATATGAATACCGGTACTTCCTGCAGATCATTTCAAAAATCATGTATCAGTAATTGAACTGATATGGAGGCAGGGAAAAAGAGGAGAGAATGCTTTTGTCGCGTCTTGATACTGAGATGAGACTTGACCTACACTCGATGCCTTAACTTCTATCGAGCAAACCAGGTAAACATATCTAACCATATAACCATGAATGTGCATGTAGCACTTTTATGAGAACATTCATGTATGCAATAACAACATACTCGGTGTAATCCCATGTTTGTGGAGAGTAGGATGTAAGCAAACCTTAATCCTTATCCTTACCTCGTGGAGGTAGAGAGGTTGTTTTCTAAAGACCCTCGGCTCTAGTGGCGGAGCCAGGATTTTTACTAAGGGGTTTCAAAATATGAAGAAGTAAATGCACTAAAAAAAGCGTTGAAGGGGGTTCAACATCTACTATATATACATCAAATATAACTACAAATTGTTACCTTTACGAAATATCCACCAGCTAACATGAATGTCATTACTGTTACTGATGCCAAAGTTGTTGCCTTCTTTAAATCCATTAGTGTAGCCCCGATTGCTAGTCCTAATCCCTGGAAACAATGAATTGAGCAACGATTATTATTGAAGTTACCAATGCAAGTGAGTTAAACATTACGTTAGAATTGAACAAAATGGAATACCTGAGCTGCTACGATGCAGAGGAAAGTCGTGAGAACGGTTAGGAAAAAGGCACAAACATCATGTTTCAAGCCTGCCATGAAGTAAACAACTAAGATAAAGAGTACTGGCAGTATAAGATCCAAGGGGATGTCACTGGTGGTTCGCGCCAAAAAATACGCGCTTAATCTGTACATATCAGCAGATCTTTCTTTATTCAGCATTGCCCTTTCTTGTGGAAATGTGAAGATTGCTGTAAATACTGGAAAAAATCCCCAGAACACCGCGATAAAGAACAGTAGCCCCGCCTGCAATGAAGTTCCACTGTTATGATAATCGGTTGTAAATGTGCTACTAGTGCTTTATTATAAAGGTTTCGTAAACGTTTCAGTTAGCTTCTTTAGTACCATGGACCGAAGAATGGTCAGTTGAACACCCTTTGTCGGAAAATTGTACTGTGTATATATGTCAAATACCTGTTCTTGCATATGTTTAGGACTATCACCACCAGATTGCCACCACAACATCCCTAAGATAACTGCAGTTGCAACAACTTGAGTGATTCTCAACCAGCTAAAATAATCGTGGCGTCGTTCTTTAAGTCCTCTCCAGAACAATATGGAGTATTGTGTCCACCAGCTTGCTCCCCATTCTCTCTTTGAGGTAACTACTTTTGACTTCAATTCCTCATCAATCATCATGGGAGCCAAAAGTTTCTTTTTTTCGCTCTCAGCAACTCGCGTTTCATATGCTTCCACTAGATACTGTTAAAAATCGAAAAAGAAAATACAGTGAGGATTCATATAGTCGACCCAAGCTTGTTGTAGATTGAAGAAGATTTGTTGTTGATATATTGTTTTGAAAAATAGTTGAGCTCTTTCTATGACTTAGTTGTGTTCCAAGACATAGAGGTGATCTATCTGGTTCTCTGCATTTTTTATATGTAAACGACTCTCCAAAAATGTTGTTGCACCTGTGTCGGATCCTCCAACAATGCACTATTTATCGAGGATACGACATGAATCCATCAACATTTTTAAAGAGATCGAGCAAAGAAGGCCGAAAAACTCAAAAAGTCAAAAAGGAGCAGAAAACAAAAATTAGATTTTATGCTAAGTGATAGGTTGAGTTATTTTTTCCTCTGAGATGATTAAAAAACTTATGTACTTGAGGATGAAAAACGTAAGTTGCTCGGATTCTTTCAAAATGATGCTCCCCCCATATCAGATCATCCAAAATTCGACAATGCACTATTTTTGGAGGATCCGACATGACTAGTTTAATGTACCAAAATGTCCTTTCATGTTGATGTGTGGAAAGTTAGAACGAAAGAGTTGTCAAAAAAATGGAAAGAGACATACATTCCTTTTGAAACGGAAAGTAAGATAAACAAATTAAAACGGAGAGAGTCGTAGAATTTACTCACCTCATGCACAATTGCTGGTGATGGCTTTCCATTCCTTGTTTCAGTATCTGAATTCCCAATCTGTACTTTGTCCTCCAACTCTGATGGAACGGAAACATCGTTTAAGTTTCCGTTCGCGAGATCCAGCAGAAATTCTGCTGGATTCATTGATATCAAAGGTGTGCATCCTATAGTTGAAAAATAGTCCATTGCCTCAGATGCCTTCCCAAAGTAAAGTAAACTCCCTTTGCCAAGAAGAATCAACTTATCAAACTTGTGGAAAAGTCTACTAGACGGTTGATGGATCGTTGTGATCACCGTCTTTCCAGCCTATAACCACAGCATTGTAAGGACATATAACTCGTGCTATGACGATATCTAAGATGAAAACACAGAGAAAGTCATACCTCAGCGATATCGTGTAGTATCTCAACTGTCCTTAAAGCTGTCGTTGAATCCAAACCGGATGTGGGTTCGTCGAGGAACAATAAGGAGGGGTTGATTATGATCTCATTTCCAATACAGACGCGTTTTCTTTCTCCTCCTGATACTCCACGAACGAAGGAGCCACCGATCATTGTATCTTGGCATCTGTAAAAACATCACATTCCTTATTCAGCTTTCACAACATGAACTCAGTAAGCTACCTTTTTCTTAGAATTCAGAACTCATAAACTCAAAATCATGGTTCCGTCTCTGATCACATGAAGAAACAATTAGTTACCTCTCTAGTCCTAGCTCGTATATCACATCGATGGCTCGTTTTTGTTTCTCCTCCTTCGTCAGTTTCTTTGGTAGTCGTAGGCGTGCTGCATACGTTAATGTTTCTCTCACTGTCAAGTGAGGAAATAGTATATCATCTTGAGTCACAAATCCAATCCTGCCAAGAATTTCACATTCATATGTTACATTCGAGTGAAAGAAAATCAATCGAATCCTTCAAAAATGCACTACGTCCCGGAGGGATCCACTAGGGTTGGTGAAATGTTTGCTATGTTGCTCACGACTCTCCAAAAACGTTGTAGCGCCTATGTTAGATTCTCCAAAAACAAAATGTACTAATTCTAGAGGATCCGACAGGCATCAGTCAACATTTTTTTCTAGAGTCCGAGCAACATAGTCACTTGATGAATATTGTCTATATATGTTGTTCAGACTCTCACCAAAAACGTTGTCGCACCTATGTCAGATCCTCCGAAAATTATCTACTTTTGGAGGATCCAACATCATACCAGTCAACATTTTTGAAGAATCCGAACAACATAGTCACTTGATGAATATTGACTATAAATATTGTTCAGACTCTCCAAAAATGTTTCCGTGCTATGTCAGATCCTCCAAAATGCACTAATTCTGGAGGATCCGTGCATCACACCAGTCGATATGTTGTTGTTCAGACTCTCTAAAAATGTTGTCACACGTATGTCAGATCCTCCAGAAATGCACTTATTCTGGAGGATCCAACATCACACCAGTCGACATTTCTGAAGAGTCTGAACAACATAAAAGACCCGCCTACTGAATTCCGGAGTGTAATTCAATCACCTGCTCTTTAAATGCTTTGAATATGGTTGTTCATTGTAAGTGATTGAACCTCCTGTTGGCTCTTTCACCCTCCCTCCAAGCAGGCTGAGCAACGTCGTTTTTCCGCTACCGGAAGGTCCCATCATGGCTAAAACTTCCCCTGGATCAACAGAACCACTTATTCCTGTCAAAATTTCCTTCTCTCTTGTTGATGT